CTCGCTCGCTCGCTCGCTCGCTCGCCTCCGTGCGCGCCGAGCCGGCGGCTTCAGGCTCGGCAAGGTCCTCCGCGGGCTGCGGCGGCGGCGAAGCCGGAGGAGCCCGGCCCGGTGCGCGGCGTCCCCCGCTCGCCGCTCCGCTGCGCGCTTTGCATAAGGAGGGCTCGCCTGGCCGGCCGGGGCTGCGGCGGGGCGCGCGCGGCGGCCGCTCGGGGCTGGAGGCGCGGCGGGCGGCTGTCCGGGCGGCGCGGGCCTTGGCACGGGGGAGTTAACACTTCATGCTTCTCGCCTCCTCTTCTGCCTGGCTCTCTTTATTATTTTTTTCCTCTCCTCTCTCTCTCTCTCTCTCTCCCCCTCGCGCGCGCGCTCTCTCTCCCTCCGTGCAAAGTGCAAGACAGAGGTGCAGCCCGGCTGGAGGAAAGGGAGGGGGGAGTTTAGTTCTTTCTTGCCGTTTTTTTTTAAAAAGCAAAATAGCGAAGTCCTGGGGAAAAAGACGAGGCAGAGAGCAGACGGGGGAGGGGGAGGCCGAGCCGACGAGCAGCCGGAGCTACAGCTCGAAGATGAAAAAAGATTTTAAAGCCTCTGATCCAGCAAGAAGAGTTTAAAGCAATTGCTGAGTTTTATAGCACTCGTGACGTCAGGTCCAAATGGGAAATTGACTGGCACTCCCGGCCAATGGGAGGCGGCGAGAGCGGCCGCGATTAGCATAATAGTATAGAAACAAGGAAACTTTTCGGAGCTGTCAATCAGGGCCCAATCAGCTGACTGTCAGCTGGGACGGGCCGGCTTAACCCTTCCGGCGCCGCAGACTCCCCGGGAGGGAGCGAGGCCTGGGCGCAAAGTTTGGTGTAAGAGGCGAAGGAGTTTTACAGAGGGGGCTTTGAGAACCCAGGCGGACCCGGGAGGACGGTTTGCTTTTCTTTGGAGCGCGAGAGAGGCCGGCCTTCCGGACCCCCAGCTCCCCAGCCACTCTGTCCGCCGGGATTGGCCTGACTCCCCTCCCCTGTCTGCCCCCCACCCCCAGGATTGTGCATTCGCCTAGCTGCTTTTCCTCCTCGCTTCACCTTTGGCACCCAGTTGTCTGCCGGGGGGAACCTTCCTTCTCTGAGCCTGGCGGTGCCCGGAGCTCAAACTTGGCCCCAACTCTTTGTACCTCTCCGGGGAGCCCGTGCGCGGGCTGGCGGGGAGAGGGGAATGCGCTGGGGCGCGGGGATCGGGGCTGAGGGCTGGACGCCGCCCCGCCGTGCGCCTGCCCCGGCGGTTCGGAGCCCACGGAGAGAGAAAACCCCTTTATCACCCTCTTTTAAAGGAGGTCAAATAAGTTCTTTAGGGGCCGTTCTTTGCGGGGACTGGCTGCCCGCTGGCGCCGCGTGCCCTTGGATGGAGCGAGCGCCCGGGCGAGTTAACTCCGGGAAAGCTCAAAGTCAGGGCAACTGGGCTCAGCCCTTCGGCTCCCAACTCCCGCTGGAGTTTGGCCTTTGAGATTCATATCCCCTCCCCACACACCCCGCTCACCTATCGCCTTATGAAATCTGACCCCTGTTTATCAGGGTCAGGCGCGCCCTTTGCACTTCTACGTTTCACTTAATTATTTCGGACTCGATCGTGGCGGGGAACAAGGGGGAAAAACAATACCCCAGTCCTCACCAGCTCCCCTCGAAGGGTTAAATTTTAAACCGCGGATTTCTCGGACAAGCCCGGAAACCCATAGTGGGGGTGGGGTGGGGGGAGGTGGCTCCCCCCCATCTCCCCCGTTGCAAATGCTAATCACTAGTTCAGTTTTCTAGATCGATTCTGTTAAAGCTTATGCAAAAAAGAAAAAAAGAAGAAGAAGAAAGAAAAAGAAAAGGAAAAGAAAGAAACCAACCACCCTGTTTCTAAGATTTTAAAGCGATAGGCAAATCGGAGAAGCCGAGATTTATTTGGGGGAAAGCGAGAGTGCGCGGAGCGGACCCTGCATTTGGAAGATCAGCCCTCCCGGTGGGAAGTTGAGACTGTTGATTCCTCCAATTAGTGAAATGCATTTGGTGTTAATCGTATTTATTTTACTTTATGGGAGGGGGAGACGCTAGGAGGGTGCATTAAAAAAAAAAATTCTGAAAGCCTGCAAAAGGATCGAAGAGTGAAAACTATTGTTGGACCGAGTTGGTTTTTGCCACAACAGCGCCACCTTTCGGCAAAGGTCAGTTGAAATTGATCCGTGTCCAGTTTTGTTGATGAAGTGAGTGTGGAAGGAGGAAGGAGGCACAGAAAGTTAGTGTGGCTGCAGTGGGAGACGCCGCCGACCCCGTAGGAAACGGGGCCCCAGAAAGTGCTGGCAGATGCGGGAATCATTCGTTCCCTCCTGTTCTCCTTGAGTGTTGACAAAAGAGGCCACGGGGACATAGACACCCTCCGGGCATAATTCTGGCTGAGAGACGTTTGCAAAGTGGATCCCATGTAACAACAGGGCCCCAAACTCTTTCAAAGTGCCAGGATGGATTTTCAGCGGGCTTTATGGCAATATCAATACAATTAAAGTTACTTGTAATTCAGTGATAAATGAGATGTCTCGAGTAAGTAAGATTAAGTGCAGTGCTATAAAGTTGTTTATCTGAAAAGTAATTCTCAGAAAACCTGACTTCTGACACTTAGTCATATATTAAGCCAGCTTCTCGAACATTGCACTTGAGAATGGTCTTACCCACCCCACAGCGTGCTTTACTATTTGTAACGAGACCTTAGGTGTCTCTCACTCGCTTCCTACACCAGATTAGACCTGTGTTAATTTCTCTGATCCTGGCAGCCGTCAGTTTCAGCAAACCCAGGAATCCTTAATAGGTGACTCCCCAAAAGATTTGTAGGCACATCCTAAGCCTGAAAGACCAGCGCTGTGGGTATTTTATGGACAACACTTTTTTTTTCATCATTACTGCCGAGAAGTTGTTTATAAGGGTAGTTTTGGTTTTATAGGAGCACTTTGTTGAGGTGGAATAAACCATGTCTATTACCAGTTTGGGGAAGAAAGAGTGAAGATTGTGTCAATATTTATGCAACCTAGTAGAATTCCCTTGCTTTCCTCCTCTTTAACAATATTTTACCTAGCAACGAAGTTGAGGGATTATAGTTTATGTATTCGGAGGAAAATGCACGGCTTAAATTACATAAACATTATGTCATTTGGTATTGTCCATAGCAATGGTTGTCCAGGTCTTTTCAAAAAATCAGTAGCCACAAATGTCTGAAGTTTATATTTTTCATGTAAAATATGAATTTAAGTGTATTTAGAAAGAATTCTTTTTTTTTTGTTCACGATTTTTTAAAATCCTTTTGCATCACATTTTTGTTAAAAGCTGTAAGGTATGGTAGATGCCTCCCAAAAAAGTATTTTTGGCCAGGAAAACTGAAACTGCTACGTTTATAAATATGTGATATTTTATAAACAAAGTTCACTAATGACAAAGACCATGGCATATAGATTCATGGCTGCATACCTCAT